ATGGGAGGAGGGACACTGCTGGTATTAGGGACAGAGAGCGGCCATGGGAGGAGGGACACTGCTGGTATTAGGGACAGAGAGCGGCCATGGGAGGAGGGACACTGCTGGTATTAGGGACAGAGAGCAGCCATGGGAGGGGGGACACTGCTGGTATTAGGGACAGAGAGCAGCCATGGGAGGGGGGACACTGCTGGTATTAGGGACAGAGAGCAGCCATGGGAGGGGGGGGACACTGCTGGTATTAGGGACAGAGAGCAGCCATGGCAGGGGGGGGGACACTGCTGGTACTGGGGACAGAGGGTAGCCGTGGGAGAAGGGGACACTGCTGGTACTGAGGACAGAGGGTAGCCATGGGAGAAGGGGACACTGCTGGTATTGGGGACAGAGGGTAGCCATGGGAGGGGAACACTGCTGGTACTGAGGACAGAGGGTAGTCATGGGAGGGGGGACACTGCTGGTATTGAAGACAGAGGGTAACCATGGGAGGAGGGACACTGCTGGTATCAGGGACAGATAGGAGGGGGGGACATTGCTGGTTGTAGCGGTTACCCTGTGTAGCCGATGGGTTTCAACCGCTGGAGGGTGTCCATTTCCCGATCAGTGTTGAGGATTCTCAGCATCCAGTCGTGTTCCAAGTGAAGAAGTTCTTACAAGAGCTAGTGTGAATAGCTGTATAGTGGTTACCCCCAATAAGAGACAGGACTCTAGATTGAGGGTGAAGTAGAACTGATGCTTAATGACACACACTCTGCTTTTATGCAGTGCTCCCCTGCAAGGGAGACGCCCACAGGCAATTAGACATTAACCAATCAGACAACGGTTACATCTCACAGGTTCCCTCCCCTCTTCTTGGGAGATAATTTAGTTTCTTACTGTATCTATTCAATTATCTCCAAGCTAAAACTTATACTTTTTTATGCATTTTTATAACTTTATGATTTTTCATCGCACAGGAATAAAACTTATATTTAGGAACAACACAACTTCGGGACAAACATATTCAAAATTCGTACAAATACGTTCAGAGGTTCCAGAGATATGGAAAAGTCTCTTTGGACCTACCGGACGCCTGTTTGCATGCCCAAAACAGTTCCACAGATTCAGGCTGCGTGGTCGGTCTATTTTTGGCTTGAAAAACAACAAAGTCCCATCCGAAGGCGGCGTTCGAATAGTCGAACGCACTTCGACTTCTGTCGAAGGTGTCAAAGTAAAACAGGATTAAACTTCCGCGGTAGTCGTTAGTTGAGTGGCAGTCTATTTTACATGAAAAAGATGACAAAGTCCCATTCGAACGTGTGTTCGAATCTTCGAGTGGCACTTAGTCTCCAGCCGCAGTGTCGAAGGGTAGGGGAAGGTACAGGTCAGCGGTGTTCGTTCAAATGTGTGCCTGATTTCCGTTACAGGGATTTGACGGCACACACTGCTGACCGTGTTCGACTGCATTAAAATAGCCGCGCCACATGTTCGATTGTCTAATGGCGACTACTTCAGCTGGATCCTAAGTGCCATATCAAACGTACCCATTCTTTGCACAACACAGTTATAGGGCCAGAAACAGTTTTTGTCCTTAGGTGCAGGGCAATGTGGATGATGGCAGGAAAACAAAACGTAGAGGTTCCCAGGCAACATGGTAGGAGGCTTGTACAACACATATTACAGATCCAACGCAAAACGGGGATCTGTTACAATGGTGTTGGGGGCAGAGGGCAGCCATGGGAGGGCGGGGAAACTGCTGGTTTTAGGGACAGAGGGCAGCCATGGGGGGGGGACACTACTTGTATTGGGACAGAGGGCAGCCATGGGAGGGAGGGACACTGCTGGTATTAGGGGCAGAGGGCATCCATGGGAGGGACACTGCTGGTATTAGGGACAGAGGGTGGGGACACTGCTGGTGTAGGAGGGCATCCATGGGAGGGGGGGACACTGCTGGTATTAGGGACAGAGGGCAGCCATGGGAGGGGGGGCACTGCTAGTATTAGGGGCAGAGGGCAGCCATGGGAGGGGGGACACTGCTAGTATTAAGGATAGAGGGCAGCCATGAGAGGGGGTGGTAAGGTCTGAGGACACACTGCTAGTATCAGGGGCAGAGGGCAGCCATGGGAGGGGTGTGGTAGGGTCTAGGGACATACCCTATTATTCAAGGGACTTCCACTGCTTGATAGGATACATACAAATATGTTCCATCAATATACCTATCAGTCACTTATTGCAATAAAGAGCTGTGCCAATGGTTTTGAACTTTTAGTAGTGTGTGTGGAACTGCACTCACTCCCATAAATCTGAGCCAGGGTGCTTCCTGAACCGGAATCAAACACCAGATTTCCAAAAATGAATAAAGTAATAGAGGTCCAGGCACTCCTTGGTTCAAGACAGGTACTTTATTAGGAACCACAACAGCAACGTTTCGACCCCAAAAGGTCTTTGTCAAGCTGATACATACATCAATTTTACAATATATATAACAAACTTTAAACAATCACAATTATGAAATACACTTGTGAATCAGTATCCTAAGCAAGTAGTATACTACTTATCGGCAATACTTAATTAATTACATTAATTAGAAAGAGAGTCTTATACTTAATTGCCAAAAACAAACAAGCTTTGAAAGACATTAATTTGTTGATATAGGAAAACAAAATGTATATATTATTTTTATATGGATACTGACATAACATCCGAGTGTATATAGGACATAAAATACACATATACACAACATAAATACAATATAAAGATAAGACCAGAGTATACGATTTCAGAAATTTCCATTATTGATTAGAAATCCTTGATCATAATCACAGAGTATTAATATTAAAGGACCACTCTAGGCACCCAGACCACTTCAGCTTAATGAAGTGGTCTGGGTGCCAGGTCCAGCTAGGGTTAACCCATTTTTTCATAAACATAGCAGTTTCAGAGAAACTGCTATGTTTATGAATGGGTTAAGCCTTCCCCCTAATCCTCTAGTGCAGGGGTTCTCAACCTTGTCCTCAAGGACCATGGGAGTCTAAGGTGTTTTTTTTCCCCTTTTTCTAAACACCTTCGACACACCCAGGTAATCCCCAAATCCTGGACTGGTAGGGGGTCCTTGAAGACAAGGTTGAGAACCCCTGCACTAGAGGATTAGGGGGAAGGCTTAACCCATTCATAAACATAGCAGTTTCTCTGAAACTGCTATGTTTATGAAAAAATGGGTTAACCCTAGCTGGACCTGGCACCCAGACCACTTCATTAAGCTGAAGTGGTCTGGGTGCCCAGAGTGGTCCTTGAGAACCCCTGCTCTAGTGGCTGTCTCATTGACAGCCACTAGAGGCGCTTGCGTGCTTCTCACTGTGATTTTCACAGTGAGAGCACGCAAGCGTCCATAGGAAAGCATTATGAACGCTCTTGCCGTGCGTGCGCATTCAGCCGACGGGGAGGAGAGAAGGAGGATCGGAGGAGGAAAAAGGTAAGTTTAACCCCTTTCCAGAGCCGGGCGGGAGGGGGACCTTGAGGGTGGGGGCACCCTCAGGGCACTATAGTGTCAGGAAAACGAGTATGTTTTTCTGGCACTATAGTGGTCCTTTAAGTATCTTTAACACATAAAGCACATCAAGTTCAAAGAGTTTTCATATATAGAAGAAAGTGTGTATAAAAAGATGCCCTTAAGTAAGTTATTTCCATTATCGATTAGAGATCCTTGATCAAAATCACAGTATTAATTAATTTTAAGTATCCTTAACACATAAAGCACATCAAGTTGATGCAGATATTATATACACTTCAACTCCAAATGAGTCGTTATAGCCTATTTAAGGTTATTTTTCTATATACATTTTCTTCTATATATAACAATTCTGTGAATTTGATGTGTTAAGGATACTTAATAGCAATACTCTGATCTTGATCAAGGATCTCTAATCGATAATGGAAATAACTTACTTAAGGGCATCTTTTTATACACATTTTCTTCTATATATGAAAACATTTTCAACTTAATGTGCTTTACGTATTAAGGATACTTAATATTAATACTCTGTGATTATGATCAAGGATTTCTAATCGATAATGGAAATTTCTGAAGTCGTATACTCTGGTCTTATCTTTATATTGTATTTATGTTGTGTATATGTGTATTTTATGTCCTATATACACTCGGATGTTATGTCAGTATCCATATAAAAATAATATATACATTTTGTTTTCCTGTATCAACAAATTAATAAGTCTTTCAAAGCTTGTTTGTTTTTGGCAATTAAGTATTAGACTCTCTTTCTAATTAATGTAATTAATTAAGTATTGCCGATAAGTAGTATACTACTTTCAGCTGTTAAACTACTTGCTTAGGCTACTGATTCACAAGGGTATTTCATAATTGTGATTGTTTAAAGTTTGTTATATATATTGTAAAATTGATGTATGTATCAGCTTGACAAAGACCTTTTGGGGTCGAAACGTTGCTGTTGTGGTTCCTAATAAAGTACTTGTCTTGAACAAAGGTGTGCCTGGACCTCTATTACTTTAATGGTTTTGAACTGACTGACAGGGGACAGCAGGAAATTCCTCCTACAGTTGGTTCTCCCGCTCAGTTTCACTATATCTAAAGTGCACACATCTCTTGCTTTGGAATGTAGAAATTAAGTAACAAACAGCACTGGTCAGACACCAATCTGTGGGCTACTTCTTTGGGACATATCCATCGTGGTCGGTCATGTGGGAGAGGCAGGAAGAATGCAGTACGATGGTGTAACACCCATTAACCTGCATGAGCTGTGGTATAAGAGCTAAAGAGAAGGTAAATAGTTAATTAACAATATCCTAAAGCAACTATATATATATGATTTATCTTAATTAATATCTCCATATGCAATTAAATATATAAATGATCTTAATTAAGATCTCTTATAGCAATTAAATATATTCTTTATCTTTTAATCTTTATGATACAGATATATTCTTTGCAGCTTCTCTTTAACCCGTTCATGACGTTAGGACTTGTCATTACATCTTGGAAAGTTTGGTGTGTAACAACAACTAAGTTCCTTACCAGCCACCTACTCTCCCTCAGTCATACTTACTCAGCCGGATCCGATCGGGAACCCAGGCAGCCCTCCTGCAGCCAATCGCCAACAGGCTGTCTTCTTTATCACTGTTACATGCAGTGGCGTCTCTAGGATTCATTTTTTGGGGGGGGCACATGGTGGGCCAGGAACAAAAGTAGAGGGGCACATTTAACCCCGCCCTCGCTGCAGTTTGACCCCACCCCTGCTGCATATTAAGCCCCGTCCATGACACG